TCAAAAAAAAAAAAAAAGAATGACCATGTGTGGCCATTCTGAAGAGAGGCAATTTCACTCTGTTGGTCTAATCTTTCAGTCATCAAGATTCATTTTGAGGGAATTTGAAGTACAAATATCTGGTCCCCATCTAGGTGAAGGTTGCTCAACCTCAAGAATAGTGACGTTTTTGACCAAATAATTTTTTCTTGTGGGGTACTGTTTTATGTATTGGTGTATATATGGCAGTGTCCTTGGCCTCTCTGCCTATGACCTCCACACGCCTCCAATCTCTTTGACACAGAGCTTTCAGGTTACTATTTTTAAACCATACCTCTAGTATAGTGGTTCTCAATGGGAAGCAACCTCCTTCCCCCCAACACAGGGGACACTTGGCAAATGTCTGGTGGCATTTTTTTTATTTTTACAACTTGGTGGGAGGAGTAAAAAATTGCTGTGGACATCTAGTAGGTAGAGGCCAGAGGGCTACAATGTGTAGGACACTCCCATACACACACACCAAATAATTTTCCAGCACAAAATGTCAATAGTGCCAAGGTTGAAAAACCTTGCTCTAGCATATCATCCCCTGGTCTGAAACTTTCGATTGTTCCCCACTGCTTGTGGGAGAAATGACAGATTTCTTGGCCCCTCCTAATGTAGATTCAGCTTATTATTTTGCCAACTACCACTCCTTTTTTGAAACAACTCTGAATGTTATGCTGTCTCTGAAACATGTCATCTGCTTTCTCACTCATATAACTTTGCTCATGCCAACCACTCCCTCCTCCTGGAATGCCTACTTCCCGCTACTAAAGCCAAATTGAAATGTGTCCTCTATAAAGTCTTACCTGAGCCTGAATTCTCCCAGGGGCAAACAATTCCTCCTTCCCTGGATGTTCCTTTAGTATTTTACACATATATCTCTTAAAGTGCTTATAGTCATAGTACAGTGGAAAATTTGAATTGGAAGGGACTTTTAGAAATATCTTCAGTAAAATTTGTTCCACTTAAAGAAAACTGAGGATCAGAAAGGTGAAGTGATTGGTTTAAGGTACTGTACATGCTCATAAAACTTGGACTATAGTGATTTGTGTCCTTAGCTTTGTGCTACTGGCATGGTTGAAGTGGATGATCATGGGCTGTGAGTTAGGTGTTGCAATCAAATTTCAACTCTGACACTTATAGTTAACCAAGTCACTTACCTTTCCAAAACTCAGTTTCTTCCACTGTAAATGGAAAGAATCATGGCTGCTGTAAGAATCAAATGAGATTGTGTGTTAAAAATGTCCAGCATGTAGTCAGTACTTATTACACGTTTGTCAGATAAATGCAAGGATCAACAGTACTTTAAAGAATGCAATTTAGGGATTAGTGATGGTCCATGAGACTTCACTACAAAATGACTGGAGGCAAAGTGTAGCAGCACATTGCCATTGCTCCCTGCTTTTGCACCCTTCCGTAGAAGGTTTTTTTCTCTAGGCCATCAGACCAGAATCTAAGCTTTATGTGAAATAGCTGAGTACTGACAGTGACTCTCTAAGTGGAAAGGTAATCTTTAAAATGCTGCTTTTTCTTTTTGCCAGGCCAGTGATATAATCTCTCTATTCCCTCGGGCAGATAACAGGTGGGGTTGTGGAAAAAGGTTTAGACAGAAGATGGGTTTCCTGTATGGCAGCACCGTGGGACTTAGATACTGTTCAGAGGCCTAGCAGGAGTGTCCCTGTGAGAGGAAATTCACAATGCACTTAGGAGGCAATAGAGCACTTTGGTGTTGACGCCTAGCCTTTTGACACCCGGTTCTGACTTCAGTAAGGTTTATTGAGGTCTTTGTAGCCAGCTCTTCATGCTGGAGCTGCCCACTCTGTCAGCTTTCTTTCTGCCTAAGGCTTTAGAGGTAATGGCATGCTCTGCACTTATTCTTTTCATTTAGAGTAACAAGTCTTTCTCCAGTCCCAGAGTTCATTTACTAATAGAAATATCCTTGCTCCTCAAATGAGAAGATGACCTGATGAACAGAATGAGACTTCTGATGCCATGTCTAGACTAGATTGGGAATAAGCTGGAGAGGATGAAGTAGTTCAGCAGTGCCCTCCCCACTCCCCTACCCACAGAGATGACTCCTGTCTACTCTGCCATGTGAGTGCCGGAGATTTTGAAGGGGGGGGGGGCTAGAGGAGAAGCTCAGGTGAGTCTATTAGACCTTAATTTAAGAGTCCTCTCTTCAGGGCTTATAGATCAAGGTGACTGTAAAAGGAAAATGGTTAGAGGAGCATGAAAAAACCAGTAGAGGGCAGATCGCTGGATTGGGAGTAAAGAAATTTGGTCTGGAACTCTGCCTGTACTTCTCTGCTTCTGAGAGTTCCTAGAGCTATCACCTGAGGCTCATATTCCAGTTTGTGAAGTGGATGCAATAAAATCTGCATTCTTTCTCCTAATGATGGCAGAAATTGAAAGTTTGCCAGTCTCCAGAGTTTTCACTCTATGAATCCCAAAGCATTGTAAAAAACCTTCTACTTTGAGTAAGTGAGTACATGTGTGTGTGTCTAGGAGGTGATGCAACAAAGAGGGGGATATAGATCTTTTGGCGGCTAGCCTCTACATGATGTTCTCCAGTTCAGTCTTTTCAGAATTCACCATTGCTGTTCATGTTGAGGCCATTTTGGTCATAGCTGGATTCCTTTCTCTAAGGAGGCTTCTCTTTCAAATCTAGCCTTTCTCTTTCTGAGGTTTGCATTGTTTTCATAGCTGTTTCAGTCTGTCTTTCATAACTGTTTAGGGTGAGACCACAGCAGTTCTGGAAGTTATATGACTGCCCAGGTCTATTGGTAAAGTATTGTTTCCTCTGAAGGACTAACACTTGACACTTGTCATGAGAGGGGATACAGGATCCATTCATCTATTCAAGTACAGAAGGAAGGTACATGGCACTATGAGAGACTCTGATGAGGGAATTTGACACAGAAAGGTCAGGAAAAACTTTACTGAGGGTTTGATGATGGAGCTGAGCTCTGAAGAATGATTGAACATTGAACACAGACTGATAGGAAGTATATGTGTACACTTGCACATGCAATAAACATTTTAGGCAAAGTCAACAGTACATAGGACTTTGTTGGAAAGGATCATGACATATTCCAGAAACAAATAAGGTACTACATTAGCTGGTTTTGCACACTTTAATTCAAAATTTAAGCCATAGTTTTGGGCATTGCAGGTTGAAAACTCAAGCATACCCAGCTTCAAAGTACGGCCAGACTAAATCACACACACTGAAATTGTACCCACTGTGGACAGAGCACGTGAAACCTCATCAAGAAAAGAATAACTGCAACTGTACTGTTGAGCCAACAATATAGAAGAGAAAAAAGGACAGATAAAAATGTGAAATTCAAATCTTTTTCCCTTTGTTTTTCCCAACCAGTACATTTGTGTATGGAGTGTACAGATGAACTCCTAGAGGGCTACTTGGTATAGGTGACTTGAGCCCACTGGAGTGAGTCAAAGAAAACTTCCTATAGGTGCCAAGTCCTGAATAGTGTTCTGAAGAAAATTTGAATTGGTGAATAATAGAGAGAAGGTGTTTCTGGCAGGAGCGACAACATGAGTGATGACTTGGTGGTGGAAAGACTATTTCTGAGGTGGGAAATTTGGGATCAATTAGACTGGCCTAAATGGAAAAGCAAAGTAGCCTACTTGTGGCCATCTTAGACTCTTTTCTATGACACACAAACTAGTCAATTAAAAGGAAAATTAAGATTCACTGGGCACGATCTGAATAAAAATAAGTAGTTATTTGACTGAATTTAGCCTTTCAAAAAGATTGTCATAAAGATTAGTATTAACATCCTCAACTGGCTGTAGTCAGGACTAGCTTTCTGCAAGACTTTGAGGTGGGTAAAGTTGCTGCCTACCTCTCATCTCAGGTTCTCTCCATTATTTTGTATAACTGGGCACCTACTACAATTTCTGAAATTCTGTTTGTTTAAGCACTTTATTTAACTGTTAGTTACTCTAATACCTCATTAAATAATAGCCCTTCTTTCTCTGGTCACTGACATTTTCTGAAGGATCACTGAAAAAAACCACTAATCCTTCAAACAAAGGAATCTACCTCTGATAGAACGGCAGGCGGTAGGATGGATGTTTTGAGCAGGTGCCTTTTCCATTACTTTTCAAACTGAAATTACCCCCCTAGAAAGTTGGCTTTGATTCCAATGCATATTTCTTTCCTGGGTGTTGAAAGGATAGGGTTAGGATCGATCGAGACATATAGTAAGGGGGAAGGAATTTGATTTTGCCAGTCAAATCTCCTGCTAATTCAGGATATGGCTCTTTGAAAGTAGCCTATGTACAGTAGTATATCAGAGTGTTAAAAGTGTTGGGCTTTGGAGTCACGACAAGCTACCACTTTCTAGCTGTGTGATTTTTTACAATGAACTTAACCTGTGACTCCGCTGTAAAACAGGGGTAATAAGAGTACCTATCTGAGATGAATACTGTAATGATCAATGGGATACGTGCATAAAAAGCTTAGCATAATGCTTGACACCTAATCAAGTTGTTCTTGTTATCATTGTCATTAGCATCACTGCATAATCATCATCCACATTACCCCCAGATTCCTACTCTAATAGAAAAATAAAATTTTGTGTTTTTTTTCCATTTTCTTTTATTTTATTTTAGAGTTGTGTGACAAATGTACAGTTTTACTACATAAGTAAATTGCATGTAGGTGAGGTTTGGGCTTTTAGTAAGCCCTCTCTCCCCCTGGTAGTAGATCTGGTATCCAGTGTCAAATATAAAATCTTATAACCTCTTACTAAAGCAAAGACCAGTAGTCATCAAAGGAGGAAATGAAAAGGCCAGATGCATTCACGGTTTCTTATTCTCACGCTAACCACAGCATCCCAAGGAGAATGTATGAAGACTATAATTTCTAGAATCGCTTCTAGTTTGCTACTAAGGAGAATGTATGAGAAGACAACTTAACCCTCATGTCTCTGTCCCTGTTCTCATAGGTACCTGTCGGCTCGGCTGGGCCTATTATTGTGCTGGAGGTGGAGCAGCTGCAGCCATGTTGATCTGCACCTGGCTCTCTTGCTTTGCTGGAAGAAATCCCAAGCCTGTCATGCTGGTGGAGAGCATCATGAGGAACACCAATTCTTATGCCATGGAGCTTGATCACTGCCTCAAACCTTGAGCTTTGAAAGAAGATTGGAGAGGGTGGGAAAGGAGAGGGAAGGAAACCGCAAAAAAAGATACTAAGACTAGACCGGTTGTCACCTAACTGCCAGTAGTGTAGCCTAGTGTTTGCATGCTTTTTAACTAACCTGATATTCATTTTCACTTTTCTCTATACCAGTAGGTCAGTGGCTATTTACAAAATTCAGCTATAACAATAATTCTCTCAAATGTCTACTCAACCAGCGAGTGCCTACTAGCCCTGAAGTCCCAAAGTGCTCCATTATACAAAATAAGATTCTCACTTGAAAGGTAACTGTACAACCAAGTAGCTCTTCAAAGTTCCACAGCTCCTGTGTACCACTTACCCCAAAGCTTAAAGGCTGAATAAGAACAGTTGTCCAGGGAGGGACCAGGAGATGGACCAGGCAGCTTACTACCACTCCATTCATAACAGCCCACCACCTGATATTTATTGCCACTTCCAAGCATCTCTGGAGTACCACTACTTAAATGTTTGTGACTGCACCTTGACTCTTTTTTTATCCTGCTTCTCTACCTTCCTAGTTGGTGGGAAGCTTGCAGGGAGGGTGACTACCAGTGAGGAAAACATTAATCAAGGATGCTTGTACTTAGCCTGAAGTCTGTTCTTAATTATGCTTTAGAATATTCGTGGAAGTTCACGTTATGTTCTGGCTGGGTGACTGGCAAAAAACTATCATGGCAAGCATTCCTTAGTCCTTTGCAGATACAGAATAATGTTAATTAAATGCTCTGAGAAGAGACTAGCATTTATTGGGCACTCAGTAAATAAGAATTTACAGTAATGGTGACATGGATGTTTATGCTGGATCCTTTATTGAAATTTCTATCAGAGTTCATTTTTATTGATTAGGAAATCCACAGTGGCCTTTCACCCCTATCTTTACTCCTAGTATAATATAAGTTTCTCTGCCTGCTCTGAACACTGCTAGTCAAATGATCTCTCTTCCATCTGGAGTGAGTTAGACATGAAAAAACACAGCTCTGATGTCACCTAGAGCTGATGTATTTTTAGGCCTGGACTCCATCCCATCTGTGCTCAAGCCTGACGGATGGTGTAGAAAAACTGGTGTCTACTGGGGGCAGAATTTGTCTCACTCCTCCCCCCCTCTCCAGTTAATTCAGGCCAGCTCTATTGTTCCATAACTGCAGCTTTAGGGACTGGGAAGGACCTGTGATTCAAAAGGTCAACTCATCTGTTTCTAGTTTTAATTATTCCAGCATGGTTTGGGTGCAACCATACCTAGAGGGAGACAAGTAGGAAAAAAAAAACTGGCTTCATGAGTTAATATGCCATTCCAGGAAGGGTCAGGGTTCTTATATTGACCTTACGTAAGTGAGTGAATTCAAACACATACTCCATTTATAGTTCATTCATTCATGCAGTCACTCATTCAGGAAACATTTCTTGAGTATCTTACTATATGCCACATTCTGTACTAAGTCCTGGAGACTAAAGGATGAAGACAGTTTTTCTCACTCTTAAAGGGGTAGTGGTAAGGTATTGAGAGACATGTTGATAAATAATCGCCAGTGTATTAAGTGCTAGAAATGGTAAGAAGATGGGTTAAAGGATCACAGAGAAGCCATTAAACCAGTGATATCTATCACAGAAACAAAGAACTGAGTACCACATGTTCTCACTCATAAGCGGACACCTAACAATTATCATAATACTGTAAGAAAGGGATTGGCGGTAGTGGGAAACTGTGGGGGGGGGCATACTTCAATACTTCATCAATAAGGGTACCTGATCTCAAACCAGGTGAAATGGGGACCAACTGGAAAGAGAAGGTGTTCATGAGAAAGTTTCCTAGCAAATATGAGACTTAAGATGGTTCTGAGAGATGAATAGCGGGAGTTTTGTCAGCAGAGGAAAAGAGTGCACTAGACAAGAAGTGGTGTCAGCCACGGCATGGAGACAGCATGAGAATGACAGACGGGTGTAAAAAAGGAGGTGGCAAAAGCTGAAGCTGAAAAGGAAAGCAGTAGCCAGAATCTGTGGGACCTTCTATGCCAGAATAAGGAGTTTGGATTTTATCCTAAAGAAGAGCCATTGAAAGGGAAGTGACATGAACACATTTGTGTTTTTTTCACAGATCAGTTTGGTTAAAGTGATGAAAATGAAAAAGAATAAGAAGAAAACTAGAGATTATTTAGATAATCAAGATGTAAAAGGATCAAATCCTGAAGTAAGATACTGACTGAGGTTCCAGCAGATGAGTGAATTTTAAGGAAGATTTTTAGGATGTAGGTTCTGCAGGATTTAATGTCTAATGGACATGTGTAGGAGGAGGCAAGTGAAAATTTGGGGATGACCACCCTAATATGTTGGTGATTTCTATCACCAAGATAGTAAGTACATGAGGAATAGCAGAAAGTAGGGTATTAGTAATTGAATTCATGTCAAGTATTATCTCCCTCATGGAACTAGATTAAGTGTCTTAAGGTAAAGCCAATTTGAGCATACCTCACTGGGAAGGAAGCAATGTAATGGGTCTGCAGAATCTCCTTTATTTAAGAAAGATGACTAAGAAAAGCTAAAACAAAAATGGAACTGGCTTAAACCTCATTTTTATTGCATAGATACAGTAAAGAAACCTTAACTTAGGAGAGCCCAGTGTAAGGAGAATATGTCAAATATTTGGGAAAAGGCACATCATTCTCTTTAGAAAAGACATATCAGGTGATTTCTCTTCAGACTAGGGAACCTTCTGGAATTCTGTGGGATAGAATTTGTGGAAGTAAGAGTATAAGCCAGAGTCCTAGCGGGAAACAGATGATATACTTAGGGAGTTTAACTGAGACACGTTTAATGAAGAGACAATTTATGGTGGTGTGGGCAGGGCTAAGGAGACTTACCAGTGATAGTGAGGCATAGAAAGACTATGAACAGTGAGAAGCTGCTATTGCCCCTAAGACTTAAGGGACAAAAAGGAGAAACAGTGTTATTTGTACCAAGAAAAAACTGTAGTTGTGCGAGACGGGCTGCCTTTCAGGAGCTGTGGCCTCAGGTTGAAAAATGTAGTCTCTGCCCAAGTATAACACAGTAGGGAGGGAGACAGAGGAATGAACATACATCTCACTCTCTGATCTCCTGCTAGTGTCCACCATTAGCCAGATTCAGCCAGACGCCAGCTGGCAAGAAAGCCTGTTGCTACAGGTCAGACTCCTTTGGCACAGAGCATGGCAGGGAAGGGCAGAGAAGGGAGCTTAGAAGTGTGAGGGACAAATAGAAAAGAACAGCTCAGTGAGTGTTCTTAGCCACCAAACACTACCATTGCCTTATGCACTGCTTCCCAGGAAGATACTTTGCTGTCCATCACAGCCCAGGTACCTAAACACACCATGAAGTATTTGGACCCTGGAAAGGAGACTGAGAAGACAGGGGCTAATTTGAAAGAGCAGTTAAAATGACTGTCACCTTGTAGGAGTTAGTTGTAGGTAGGGGTAAGATGGGATGTTTCCTCCTCTTTTCGGAGGAATGGCGACTGGATTTGAAAGAGATTTTTTTCTGTGAAGAAACAGGGCCTGTAGGGGCTTATATTCAAAGAGGGATCTAATGCCATGTTCAATTTGAATTTAAATTCCTCCCTGCCTGGGTCTGGTTTCGTTACTGCCAAGCCTTGTTTCTGCATAGATATCTGACTAGCCTCGACTCTTTTCCCTATGTTCGGGAGCAAACTCTTGGAAGCTAAGTCTGCTTCTTCTGGCTGTTGTACAGAGAGAAAGAAGAGCACATGGGTCTGGTGGAGGGCTGAATGAGTGAAGTGAGGACCTCAGAGACTCTGCACTTGGTCCCATGCCTGGCTGCCTCTGCATGCAGGCTGAATGCCTAACTATGGGTTTTTTTCTTACCCTGGAACCACTTAAATCTTGGAGAAGTGGTGAAGAGTAGGAGGTGATTCATCTAGGCTAACTCACAGTCAATTGACTATTTCTTAATAGCCCAGTTGGCAGGACACTCCTTTCAGAATAGAATGTCAGATGGGCAACAACTGCCCAATTGCCATGTCTTTGTGTCTAGAAGGTTGACATTTCTACACCTGGGGTGGCAAGTGTTAAGGCACTCAGGTCTGTCTTGAGTGTTATTCTCTCTAATGTCACCCCTCGTTATCCTTACTCCCAGGGGAGTCACTACTTCCATTCACTTATAACTTCTGGTGACTTTCAGACAGTAGTTTCTGCCTCGAAGAAAAAGTGTGTGCCCTGAACCAACATGGAAGGGTTCTGGCCTCTGGGAAAAAAGTTCTGTCTTCTGCAAGAGTAAGTGGCAATATGAGGTTGTGGCTGAATAACAGAAAGCCCTTGAATGATGAGAGAATGAGGAAGAATATGTGAAGATGGGGCTTTATAAACTGCCAAGCTGTATTAGAGGAAGTGTCCACCCCCTTCAGTATGTGATAGGGACCCTTTCTTCATAGTCTGGCATTCACTCTCTGGAAATACTAATGCAGAGTAACTTCAAGATTGTATTTGGTTTTAAGGCAGCCTGGTGATAGGAAAAAATGAAAGTTTCAAGAAAACTAATAGTGAATATATTACATAAAAGATGGAAGAAACCCCATTTGGTGGCTTGAGGACAAAGCTAAGCTATTTCTAAAACTCACAATCAATTTCCAACTACACCTAGGAAAACCTTCTTAGTAGACAGGAGGCAGGACCCTTCCAAAGAGTCTTCTTCACCTTGTGTCTTTGGTTTAAGAACATTTTCTGAGATGGAGAGAGGTTGGAGTTGAAGGATATTTATTAATGGCCTCTCCCTCATATGTAGAGAGAGGCGTTTTCAGCTTCATTTTTTTCCCATCTACTTCTGAGATTAGGTTCTCCCAGGGTTGATCTCTTCTCTAAATACATCAAGTCCCCACTGAGTCCTCAAAGCTAATAGCAAATAAGCAGTTGCTATGTGTGCACACAAATGATTTACAGTTTCATTATACAGAGCTGCTGATCTGTTAGGAGGCAGAAGTAGGGGAAGACAAAATGCTAGGTTTTGATGGCAGCACTGTATCCTGCTCTTTCCTTCCTCTCCAGAATGGAGGTCCAGATAACTGTACTTGGGAGAGGTGGGCATTGAGGACAGCCAGCATCCATGTGGGCAAGACCTTGATGCTGGCTCCCTTTCAAGTAAAGCCTCTGCTTCCTGAAAAGGTGGTGGAAACTAAAGAAGGGGGAAAATGCTGATGGAAAGTTAAAGGAAAATGTTTACAAAGAGGTAAATATCAGAATTACTCCAGAGAAATGGTATCTCCTCCCA